TGTTTAAAACTAAGCTATTGCAAAATCAAAAAAATTGAATATAAAGTGTTAATTATGCCAATAAACATAAATGTAAATCCCTTTATTGTCCTACAATGGGGAAATTCACTCTGCAATTTAACCCGTCCCCTTGGGGAGCAGTGGGCTGCCATAGCGTGGTGCCCGGGAAACGCTCAGCGGAACCGGGTTCTTGCAACCTTATCAGAGGACAACTGCACTGCTCTAACCCACTAGGCCAACACTAGGACCCCTCTGGACAGGAAACCTAATCATTCACATCTGCTTGAAAAAACATCAACATCACTGTATATTTAATTAACAGATGCAATGAAGGCAGAGTGGCATCAGCCGCAGCACAACAGAGGAAACATGAAACTCAGACCCAAAGAGTAAAGCTACTTAGAATGAGGACGATCTGCTCCTCTATTCTCTCCATTTCTCCTTCAATGACCGTTTCTATTAGTTTTTTTGTCATGTAACAGTGACTCAGTAAGATTCCCAAATCACATGACTGCACTCAAATGTCTCCGCAGTGATCAATAGTAAGGCAAAATCGCTGCTTGTTAGCTAAGCTTTCTCTCATAAATGACATTTTTTTTCTTTAAAAGCTGAGGAACTCACCTGATTTTCAACCATTTTGTTCTCCCGGATCACAGAATATTTTCCCACTTGGTTCAAATTCCCAGCATAAAAAAAGTGTTTAAAAAAAAAGAGTTTGGGATGTTTAAAATTTAGTATTATTCAGCAGCTTTCTCTAGCAGCCTGGGATAGCAGGCAGACCAGCTTAGCAGATATGGTGTTACTATGGAAACCATTTCACCACAGCATCATGCAGTCATTAAATGCAGATGTATGGGCCTATCTAGATCCATGTAAAATAAACGAAGAAAGAAGAAAATGAGGCTATTTGCAACTATTTCAGTCCAGTGCACCCAGTTGACATTTAACTAATTAAATCTGTGTTTGTCTGTCAATAGTCTCCATACCTCCCCCCCTTCCACATTCTCACCCAAAGCTGGAATCTGCAGTTTTATTGACGCAGGCTAATAAACCCCAAGCTACCACGGAGCCAAAGGCACACATGCATTATGGTCACAAAAGTAATGAGAGAGGCTTAAATTAACTGAATAAAATCAAGGATCCGCTCTTCTTCAACAGGTGGCATCCATAAGGAAGCAGAAAAAGACAACTGGCCTAAAACACTAAGTTACAGCTGTGTGTTTTACTAAATAAAAGTCATGCAGCTTGTGTTATTAGAGAAACACAGCAGCCTACTTTAAAAAAGCAAAGAAATATAAAAGCAAAACCTATAGAATAAGAAAACATGGCTGATCATTGGCAAAAGATAAGACCTAACATTAAAACATTTCCTTTTAAATTAAATTGTTGGTGATACAATAATTAATTTCCAATTGATATTTTATGAGCAGCCTAAAGTTACCCAAATCCGATTTTTTTGCCCATATGTGACCTGTATCTGATCTTTTCATGGCAGATCCGATTTTTTCCAATGTGACCCAGGAAACTTGGCTATGTGGTCCTGAATCCCATACAATTCTGCTCTTTTCAAATGCGACCTGTGTGTGAACAGCCAGGTCGGATTAATCCGACCTGAACGACATTAATACCCAGCAAAGGTCACTATTCTGTGGCTTTCAATGGAGAAGCGGCAAGAAAAACCACAACCATGATGAACAATAATGCGTAAAGTAGTATTTATGTTTAATCATCTTGAAAAGATTGAGTTTTAATGTTAGGAAAGATCATTAGATGCGCCCCTTCAAAGCCATCCATGTTCACTTCTGTAAACACAGAGCGCACTTGCTTGTGATGTCACTGCGTCTTCTACTGCACATGCGGGGAACTTAATTTGTATGAATGCAGTTTACTCAAAAAAATTTGGAATTGAGCATTTAGGCCTGCAGTAGCCTTAGTATTTTGTCTAAACCTCTTGAGGATCTGTTTGGATCTTCAGCTGAAATGTTTTCCCCAGCTTATTTACATTGACCATTAGTCATGTGTCCCTGAGGCCCCCCCCTTCACCCTGCCCTCTGACACTCCTTTCTAACATTTGGTCAGTAACACGTCAATATATTGACACATGTTCACAATGACATGCAAGCTGCCTGAACTGCTGTAAATTCACCAATGAAAACCACTTTTCTAAAGATAACCAGCAGGAATTCACAAACCGAACAGCAAAGCTGATTCCTATGAGCTTATGATAAAAAAACAGAATACATAAACATGGACATTAAAGTGTAGATGTTTTCAGTAGATCAGGGATCAATTGCTCCTTACATTTACACTGCATACATTAGGCCGTAATGTTTGGGCTAAGAGGTCTACGTTTTAAATGTTTTACTTTAAATAAATTATTGTAATTTTGGTGTTTAGTCACAACAAATGTTGAAATTGTCATGAAGGGATCCTCTGTTTCCTTGTCTTTGGGTTACCTGCCTGCCACTGACATGTGCTCTGAATCTGATAATTAGTGAGAGCAAATATACCTGTCTGTCTGCTAATCACCCTCATTCCCCCCAGCTTTTATCCTGCCTTTTAAATCCTGCTTCTCACAGTCAGTCTCTGCCAGACTGTCTCTTTCCCTGCACGGGGTTCATTCCCAGTGCTTGAGTACACAGCCTGCCTTCCTTTGTTTCTATGGTTCTCCTGCACTCACTGCATTCTCATTGGCTTCTGACACTGATCATGACCTGCCATGCCTCTGTCACCAGCCAGTTCAGCCATCTTCTGCCTTTTTCAGCCTACAACTATCATGTTATGCCTACATCTCCAGTTCATCTGATCATGAATACATCTACAGCTGAGCTTTAAGGTTACATACTCTTCCTTTAAAGACAGAAAAAAATCAGCTGCCAGTAAAATTAATTGAAAATGACAGATGACAAATGTAAATAATATGTATATTATTTATAGGTTATGTCATCTGTCATTGACAATGACAGATGACATAACCTATAAATAATAGGGTAAGTAAATAATATATGCAGGTAGTTGGTAGCTGCATATATATAATAATAATAGGGTATAGGGTAATAATACATAAATAACATATATATATATATATATATATATATATATATATATATATATATATATAGGGAATGTAAACCTCCCAGAACAACTTTATATGAAAAAGACAAGTAAAATCAAAGACCCCCGATCCTGAAAGAATAACAGTCTTTAATTTTCACGGAGAACATTCAACTAAATAGTCAATGTAATACAACTAAATGATCAAAATAGCAAAACAAAATAATCTAAATAAAAATAATAATAATAATAACCAAAGTAATAACACTAATTAGTTATAGTAATAACATTCAATATGCAAAATAACAAAGATGAATAATCTAAATGACAAAATAACCAAAATAACAAAACAAAGTAGCCAAAACACAAAACTAAATAATAAAAAAAATCAAACTAAACTTCAAGTATAATTACTCTAAGTAAAAGTAATGGAAAACAGTGAGTATAACACAAGGACATTGACTGCAATACAAAAACCAAGCTCTAAGAAGTTTTTCAGGCACAAACTCTGATACTCCAAAATAAAACTCCAAGATATAATGCTGCCCTTTATGGGACACAGGAAACATGTGGAACATTGCTTCTGTGGAATGAAGCTGAAGGTGACCTTTAATGGACTACCTGTAAACTGCTACTGTATGAGTACAAGACTGCATCCTGAACACTCCTTCTCCACAGTGAAACATGGCGGTGTCATGGTCTGAGGATACCTTTCTATGGGGAAGATGGATGGATCTAAATACAGAAGTATGAGGCAGTCTGGAAATACAGCCTGGTAGCTGCATAGCAACAACAGAGCAGGTTAGATAAAATCATCCCATGAGGATGGCAAAGTTCAGATTTAAATCGAATTGATGCTCGGTAGCAAAGAGAGCCTCTGTTCATCCTGATTTAGCTGTTGTGATTTTTAAAGAATAATGGAGCATAATGTTAATGTAGCTGTTCCTGTAGTAAAGGTACTTCTACAAAGCATTGACTCTGGAAGGCTGAACATATATGCATGCCACACTCTTCACTTGATTATGTCCTCAATAAAGTATGTTATTTATGTCATGCACAGTCTGAATGTAGGTTTTATGTTTAGGTGCCTTTCTCATAAAACGAGCTGTAATCTATTTTTCTGGCATGTATTGCATGTTTGGTCATCTGCATCTAGCGTTCTCTATTTCCCAGGAGTCCTTTACATCAGTGGTTCTCCTCAGGGACCACTGCCCTGCATGTTTAAGCCGTCACTGTGCTGCCATACACCTGACTTATATGAATGAAAGATTAACAGACTTCTGGAGCCCTTGATGACTGCTGAGGAGGTTCTGGTATCATTTGAATTAGAAATTAAAAACAAATTCAATCAAAGGGAATTTTAAAAAAGCCAAAGGAGAAAAAAAAGAGGCAGATTATAGTTCTGTATTCTGTGCTGTTATTAAACAAGCAGATATTTTTTACAGTTTATGTATTTTTAGTCTTTTAAATCCTTTTTTGAGTGGATGTGATAAGTTAACAGAAAATGATATAACAAAGCATTTCACCATTTATGCTCACATTTAAATATTTGCATTGCTCAATAAATATATCAGTTAAAATGTGGCCTCCTTCACATTGCCTGCAGACTGCATGTCCACTTATGAAATATGATTACATTGACTCTAAAATCCTCGGAAAACATGCATTAAATCCCACCCATAACACATCCACGGCATGTTCAGAGACTCATGGCAACATTGGTGACTCATGGAAACCTTATAGCATACATTACCGCCCACAAAGCACTGCTTAGAGACTCTTACAGCCCATTATAAACAAATGTATGTCCAAGATATTACACCATTAAAGCGTTTGCTTCAATTTAGCTTAAGTTTATTATATTTTTACACAAGCTGCATAACACACAAGCCTAACATATCTTGTATGGATAGGAGTCACGGGATAGAGGGTAAATATCCGCTCACCTGGCCTTCCATTTTTAAAAGATGCTATAGATGCTCTCTCCGTTGTCTAGTGGGATTTCAGGTCTGCAGGATGCAGAGACTGAGGAGAAAGAAAGGCGTGGAGGGTTGATGGAGGGAGGGAGGAGACGCCAGGTGGTGCCTCACAGCCAACAGCTGCAAAACATGGAAACCGCGTTAGTCGCTGTCCGTGGTACTAGTTCATCTCTGCATTGCTTATGGTTTAAAAACGCCCCCAACGCTGCTTAAATATTTGAAGATGCACGGCTTTTAAGAAAATAAGCAGATGCTATTTGTTAACCTCTATCCCTGCAGTCAGATGAAGGCCAATTGGCTCAGTTTACCCCAGCAGAAGCATCCAAGATCCCTGATATGATCCCAGTTCGATCGGTGGGAGGAGACTCACCTGTCGTGACCGGTGGGACCCACGGCGGGCTGCAACAGGTCTCTTTTTTTTTTTTTTTTTTTTTGAAAACGCTGCCCTACACAGTGCGTCCCTTGCAAGGGGCTGCGAGGAACGAGGCACGTAACCCACATGCTATGATTACACCCGTCTCAGCTCGGCCAATCAGCGGCCGCTACGCCACGGTGTCGTGACGCAATCCCCTCCCTCGTTTAGCCTGCAAATAATCTTGATTCCAGAGCAGCATCACCGCGTCCAATCATGGCTGAAGCATAGCCTTTAGTCGGTTAGTTGGTCAGAACTGGCGCATGCCGTGGGGGGATGGGGGTCTGCCACAGTGGGTCGTGGGGATGTGCTTGTAAACCCCCCCCCCCCCACTCTCTCTCCCTCTCTCTGTTGTCCTCTATGATGCTTCTAGAAGTTGACCTTGGCTGCTGCTGCTGCTGCTCATGGGACGTCACGTGATATGACGCAGCTCAGATGATGCTTCGGTTTAACACGCTTCATTTGAAAAGTTTCTTCTACAGTCATGATTATTTTCAAACAGAATAAATAAGTTAGAGAAATAATTCAGAGTTCAAGATATGCTTAGAGAAAAGGGGGAAACAGATGATTACATAGTAAATAAGTAGTTAAGTACTTAAGTAGTTAACTACTTAATAAGTAGTACACTTCCCAGTCAAATTTAGAAACAATAAGCCCTAATTTCAGTATTTCTAAGGCTGCAAAGGCAAGACGAAAGTGGCTTCCTTATACAGTGACCATTACTTTATCTGGCATGTTTTAACCGATTATTTTAGAGAACATAGACTGTGCCTGTTTTTGACTTTTATTAACGTATACCAAAGAAAACCTGTCTCAAATTTTAAATTGGAAGTTGGACATTGTGAGTTTTTCTTTGCTATAGAGGTTAACATCTCAAGCTATAATGCTTTGATTTGAAATTCTCAGTAGGTCAGGCTCCATGTTAAGGATTGTTGTTCTGCAGGAAGGCAAATCTCTGCTCTGCTCTCTATGGTGCTGCAGCCAATAGCAGGTTTTCTTCCAGGACTGAGCTACATTTAACCAGATGTGTTAAGTAACTAAGTATAAATACTTTGTTGGTGCACTTTATGTCATTTTCAATATCTGTACTTTACTTGAGTATTTATTCGTCTGAGGATTTTTTCTTTCACTACCTTCATTTCAACCCAAATATCTATACCTTCTACACCTTGCTTCCTTTAAAAATGTCTAGTTTCTTCTATATCTATTGATAACAACATGATGTGGCAGCTGAAACATAATTGAGGAAAATCCAGAGGGGCTCGTTAATCTGTCCAGTTGGTGCAAAGTTTGCTGACAGAAAAGCACAGATGGCCAGAAAGATGAAGACAGCGGCCAGAGAAAAAAAGATGATTGATCTGATTCTGATCCATAAGACATTCTCCATCCATATTCCCCTCTTTTTAGATTTTAAATGAACTTGTTTATTTTTTTTGCTTTAATTTCTTTTTAATAGTAATTGAAACTTTGTTTTCTTTAAAAACAGAAACTCTAAATTAATTCACCTGTTGTTAAGCTCAATCTATATTATCCTGTCTGAAATTTTAATGTAGTACAAAACTATACAGAGTCTGTATTTTCTATGGTTTTGTCTAAAAACACTGTGAGAAAAATAGAAAAAATAAACAGTTTTTCTGAGAATCAAACAATTTTTTTTAAGAATACATTTTAAAAGCTATTTTTTATCAGTAAAGGCAGAAACTTCATTTTACAGTTTTACACAAGTACAATGCAAAACCTGTACTTTTTTTTACTTTTACCTATAGCTAACAAGCTCAACAGTTACTTTAATTTTTTCCTCTTTATTTTTACACAGGTATCTGCATTTTAATTTGTGCTTTTTACTTTGGCCAGTACAAGTATCATCTTATTGGATCAACTTCCTTCCCGTTCTGATGGCCTCCTTTGCCCCTGTTCCACAAAGGCCACATTTGTAGAGGGCATTCCTATAACTTGGCACTTGCAAAATGTAAATCTTTGCCACTCATTCCGATTCAATCTATGGTTTTCTGTATCTTAGCAGCTCTTTTATCAAGTTTCTAAATTAGATGATGCATTTTGCAGTTTTCTCCGAGATACTTGGGATATTTCTTTATGATCTAAAATCTTTTACAACATTTAATCAGTGACCAATGTGGTGTATTCCTCACTCCTGATTATACTAATAAGCCTTTCCAAAATATATTTATTTATACCCAGAATATTTTATCTAAAGCTATCAGAGACAGACAAAATCAACAAAAATAATGACAAAATACTTAAAACATCTTTTTAAACATTGATTTTAAACAAGATGTTTCCTTTTCATTTTGTATGTAATTTTGCAATGATCCACCACATTAAATCCTAATCAGATGACAATAAATTGGAATTGAAGTTTTTATTTCACTTTTTTTTTCTAAAAACATCATAGATAGTGAATAGAAAGAGTAAAACAACTTTTATTTTAAATTCATGTTTATAATTGACCCCTTTTGACAGTGACAATTAATGATTGAACAAAATTAATTTTTTCTGAAAATTGAAACAAAATGAAATGAAAAGCTGAAGCAGCACTAAGTCTGCTGGCGGAAATGAGTTAGAGGAAAAGAGAATAAAATGTTTTCACAGTAATGGCTTTTTATTTAGCTGCTTTAAAAAAAATAAATACTAGAATGTTTCATGTTGAGATGATGGGATGAGAGGAGAAACTGCCTTCAAATCCTCCCGGCAAACGATCCTGATTCAAGCTGATCATCCCATTTCTGCACCTGCAAAACATGTTGAGGAAAAGGGAAGGCAAACATGATATAAACAGAGGAAGAGCTGACAATAAAGTAGGAAAACAAACATAAAAAGCTCAAATAAACACTCTGGAAATTATTAATTCTGATCCTTTTAACCACACCTTTATTTTTAACAGGGGTCTTAAGGCACAAAATATGAATGCCTCTAATTATTCAAATAGAAAACAAAATGATGTGCTTCATGTACGCTTGGTGTTATAACTTGGAATTGGCTTAAACAAACATTTAAAACCACCATCTACTTGTGTTAATCCAGTTGATGGTAACCATACCCAGCTGATGGGACAGAGACTCTTGTATACCCTGTGGTACCACTCACAGGGAGCCGGGTCCTGGTTTTTAGCTGACAGAGCTTTGTTACATCGGTGAAAATCTGTCGAGTGAATGAAAGGACAGTAACAACCTATGAGGTATGACACAGAAGGCAAACAGCAAGAGTGATTATTATGGAATAATGAGAAATAGTCACTCGTGTGCATCGCTATATCACTGACGACCTCTAAATCCTTAGCCTGGTCCCAGCTTTATTTACAGAGTATATTTACTCCAGGATAATACGGTAAAACCTACTGGACATGACTCCTGGATACAATTAGCACAAACTAAAACAATCTCCAAAATATCTTCTCCAAACAAACGCCATATTGAAGAAGCCACACTTCTACATTTGTATTTTTTGTGTACAAAATTAACCCCATTTTAGTTTGGCATATTCCAAATTTTAGCAGATATGTTTAATATAGAATTGAGGCTAAGCTTTCTAAATGAAATAAATACCAAGAACAATTTTTATCTTATGCCATTATCATAGGAAAAAAAGCTACTGTTGATGTTCTGGAAAAAATACAGTTTTCATTAGCAAATAATTTAAAGCGAATCTATAGAACTTGGCAACCCCTTCGGCAAAATATTGATTATTCTTTTTGATTCTCAGTGTGATAAAATGTAAGTCCTTGGGGAAGGGGGGTCCTGAGAATGTTTCTGTTTATTTTGTTTCGTTTGTATTGTCTTTATGTTTCATGTTCACATCAAAAAAGAGGACAAATTAATATTGTTGATGTTTGAATTTTCATTTCTGTTTCCTCAATAAAACAATTTGACAAAAAAATATGTCCTCCATTAAAAAAATGTTGGATCTTGCAGATATCTACCGTTTTCATCCCGTCTGCCTTGTAGGAAAGGTGATGCAATAGAAAAAAATGTTTCTTAAAACCCCTTAAAAGGTTTCAAAAAAGTTTGTAGTGCAGAATTATCATTTACATCACATCAGTTATGCTGAGGTTAGCTCTGTGCCTTAAGAGCAACAAGGAGGCAGCTAAATAGAGATGAAGTGATGCTGGAAGACGCCTCTTTTGCTCAGCAAAGATTTTAAACATGTAGAACTCAGGTTACTACTATAACATAGAAAAAAACGATTTTGATGGCCAAGTAAAATAAACTAGGAGGTCAAAATAAATACTTTAAAGTATGCTTTAATGGTCTGATTTTGAAAAAGAGCACTATAAATTAGAACAAAATGTAAAGTTTAGATAATTTAAAACTTTATGACTGAAGAATATTTTATCAGTGCATTTGATTAAGGACTTTGGATAAAGGAGGGAGTTGTAAACTAAGACTAGTTATGCTAACGCTGTTGTTGTTGGTTACAGTCTTAAGACTCTTTATTTCTTTGTTTTTCTATCAGTCCAATCTGCCAACTAGAAGATTTTACCATTCAGCTGCTTTCAGAGGGTTTATGAAGGAAGCTTTCTATCCGTATAAGATGATGTCATAATTTCATTCATGCTCCAACAGCTTCTCTTTTCCTCGGATGCTGGTTAAGGATCTCTGTCCCAGAAATAGAGCAGATTATGTAACCTGCTTTTCTGTGAGCTGTATGTTGATGCCCCAGGTGCCTCCTATGCCACAGGAAGTGACATACATTTGTTTTGTTTGTTTTTTATAAATATGAGGCAGCCCAATCATTTTAGTTTGTTTTTGTGTATGGTCTGCAACTATTGGGCAATGCTAAAATCATTTTCTTCTTTTCATTTTGGATATCGCCACATATCAAATTTTGCGGTACACACTGTTAAACCTTTATATGTTGCGGGTTAAAAAAAAAAAAAAGTTTCACTATAAAAAAAATCTGATTCTATCTCATCTAATGGCTATTTACATTCCAGAGAGTATTTTTTTGGCTTTAACACCTCATTATTTATTTTCTTTTCTGTTTTTTCCCCAAAATTTGTACTTATCTCCTTTGCAAGAGTTTAAACTTTAGATATTTCCTCTATATGTCTGGTGACGCTGCTGTTCTTTTCTCTAGAAAACAGGTTATTTCTCTGTTGTTTTAAAATTAAATGAAGGCTGAAATTATATTACAGAACTCTATAAGAAACAAAAACATGTTCTAGCACATGAAACCATAGAAAGCAATGAGACCAGGAGTACCCAATGTTTCTCTGTGGCTGAAGAGAAATTCACCTGCTCTCATTTTATTCTCAGGTTTAATTCACTTTAAAAAAGAAAATGCAGAAATGATTTGAGAAACCAAGTGACACTAAATGGATCCAATAAAACCTCAGTGTCCTGTTCACCTAAATAGTTCTGGTAGCAGTTCCTGGTCTGGTTGGTGTTTGGGAAACGGGCATCAAAAGGAGCCGTCCTGTAGTTCTTGATCTTCTCTTCAAATTTGTCAGACATTTTCAGCTTCTGCATATAAACAAGTTCAAAAGCAACAGAATAATTTATTTGATAATGAGCTGTTTAAAAGGAAAATACCGAAACAAAACTGGATAGCAAATCCATTAGTTTTTCCCAAGCTGTTTAAAATGATGACTACCTAGAAGTTATTTTGTTCTATTTGTATAGCAACAATAAACTTTAAATTCAAAGCTGAATGTAATTACCACAAATAGGAAAGAAAATTTCAGCTATTGAGGGTGATCACTTAATGTAAAATTATAGTTGGACTGAAAAATAAAATGAAAAAAATATATATACATTTTTAGATTATATAAAAATGACATGAAACTGTATAGACTAACATCCATTCTACATTAAAGGGTAGCTTTAAGCACATGAAAACAAAGTTTTCTAGAAATATATTCATCATCAAAGATAAACTCACATTAAAAAAGTCACACTTTAAACTGAAGCTCTGAAGCAAAACAGAACCGTTAACATATTTACCAGAAAGTATTAGAATAGAATAGAATAGAATAGAATAGAATAGAATAGAATAGAATAGAATAGAACAGAATAGAAAAGAATAGAATAGAAAATCCCTTTATTGTCCCACAATGGGGAACTTGTGGCGTTAAAGCAGCATTACAGCTAAAGTGGTCACACAAATGTGGACCTAAAGAGTTTATTAAAAAATAAAAAATAAAAAGTGGCAGAGTTAAAAAATAAATAAATAAATAAATTAAATAATGACCTCTTCTATGTTTTTACAAATACAAATAATGTGCAGTCACACAGGAATAAAAATCAATATAAAGCTGTGGAAATATGGGGAAATAGCAGCAACACAGAGAGATGTGCAAAAAGACAGCAGTTATTTTTACCATAAAATCAAATTTGATCATAAAAGATAAGCTCCTTTCAGTATAACAAATTAAATGGGTGAATATGCGGCATAAACCTTGGTAATTCAATACTTTTTTTTAAAACTCTTTTTAGTTGAAGACAAATAAGAAACAAAAAAGTATTTTAGAAAACCATATTGAAACATTTTGAAACCTTATTATATGCGTTTTATGTAAGTTATTAATTACATTATAATAAATATCCAATTTGCCAGAGATCTTAATTGAATTCAGCAAGTTACGATTAGTAATTCTCTGTATTTTGTATTTTATATCGTCTCTTAAATGTATTCTCTTTCAAAAAAAAAAAAAAAGAGTAAAACATTTCTATTTAATCGTTTTTAAAGCTGTTCAAGCTGTTGATCAGCAGCAGTCACTAATCCATGACTAAATCTCTATCACCTGTTTGACCATCGCATTAAATAGAAACCCTCAGACATCAGTTACTGTTTAATCAAACTTTAGGTCTACAACCATGTTCTTAAAATAAACAAACTAAAAAATAAACCTAAAACATTTACCATACCTTTTAAATAAACTCCTCTCTAATCCGCGCTGCTTCTTTTCTGCTCAGTGACAGCACTCGCAAAGCATGCTGGGAAACGGAGTCTGTAAGAAATACATTTTTTATAGCACGGCATCGCCACCTACTGGAGCAAAACGGAACGCGCAAAATTCCCATGAGATTATACATAAAGTAAATGTAATAGCAGTTACTGTAATTTGGATTATCATAATCCTTCCACCGACATCATCAGTCCATCAGCATTGAACTGCTTAATTACTGGGTTATTTGTTTAGTCTACAATGTGGTTGAAATTAATCAGATTTTATAAATTTTAATTAAATCGTATTGGTCACTTTACAAAAGTGAGAACTAGAAAATTTTATTTTATTCTCTTTTTTAATGAAAAACAAAAAGCAAAGATGATTCTAGAGTTAAAAAATCAAGAGAGAAATTATTAAAGTTTAAAATCATTAAATCAACAAATAGAACAAAATGTAAATAAGACCCAACATTTTAATGTTTGGAAATGAAAAGAATAATTTTAAAAAAAGCTTTTAGAACAGCTACACAAAAAGGGATTAATCACAGTTTAGAATAATTGCATTACAAAACCATTTAACATAGGATACTATTGATCCATTTAGTCCTGCAAACATGATCCAAATACACGCTTCTAAATCTTGCAGGGATTTGCTACTGCCTGATACCGAAGCAGAAAGTTTATCCTGGGTCACTGTAGAGATGCTTGTCTGCGCTCACAGATCCTCCTCAGCTGACCAGAGCACCTGGAAATGAACCAGCTCCTCCTGTAGTTGTCTGCTGGTGTGAGCCGTCCACAGAGCTCATTGCTCTCTCCTGTGATATCTGGCTGATGGTACCAAAACCTGCAGAGACAAGAAGGAAATAAATAAATAAATACTAATATGCTAAAATATTCTACTACTTTATCCTCTATCACATATATATCATGTTTATTAAGATGGGTTCCTGCAATCTATGTCTAGTAGTAGAGATGCAAAAGGTCTGAGTTTTCTGGATGAAAAAGGATTTTGATTATTTCGAGCATGTCAAACATATGATTCTGAATTTTTTTTAAATTATTATTATAAGCACTCTGATGCATTAAGCTATAAAGTACATATAGCATGTAACAGTCTGTGAGGTAAATTGTTTCAAAGATTAATCTTATTGGCAGATACGATTTATGATAAAAAATATTGGAAATTTAGGTTTGGGAGTATTTAATGCAGAAGATAATCTAATGATTACCAATAGAAAATCAAGCAAAGAAAAAGGGATTTAGGTAATAAATCTTAAGTAGATTTATTGGGCATCTCATTTTCTTAGTACTCTGTGAATGATTTAGTTGTCCGTGTACATAATATATTAACAGTGCAAAGACGATGTGTTGTATTTGAAATATGTTTAGTAAACTAGGCTAGTTTGAACTAAATTTTTATACAAAGACACCAAGAAAAACGCTATAGGAGCTAAACAGATTTAATTTGTCAGTGGTTGACGCATAAAATTACCCTGCATTATCTGGATATAGGAGTAGTTTAGCAACACATTAACCTTTAGTGTGAGAGATCAACCTGGTTATAAACCCAGGTCCGCTGTCTCAAAGTTGCTGCTGCACAGGAGACCAAGACACAAACCTTTATTCGAAGAAAAAATTAATACCTGGCTAAAACCTCCCGAGATTTTATCTAAAGTCTGATAAAAAAAATAAAGTGGAAAAGAAAAAGTTTCACATCAAGAATTCTAAAGGACTCCAAAAGAACAGCAAGCCAGAACTCAAATCATCCAGCTTAATTATGTTCAGAAACAATCTATTTTCCATTAGAATATTTGATTATGCTTTTGTTTCTATGGCTGTGGAACCAGACAGGTTGTCCTGTACAAGTAATTGCTGCCTCGTGACCTCTTGTGGTGTATTTGGCCCTCTTGCCGCTCCTCCTCCACCTCTTGGTTCCTGTCTTTCCACTCACTGTGGTCCATTCTCCAAAGGGGTTCCGTCACTCCACTGCCAGGTCCCTTCCACACCACTTCCCCTCAGCCCAAGCCAATATGAGTCTCCCTGACTCAGGCTCTGGGCTGTTTTAAACAGAAACTCCTGTAAAAAAAGTCAGAAAATGTGAGGTTGCAAATGTGTCTTCCTAAGCAGTTCTGATGAATATTGGCTTGTGACCATTGCAGGATGAAAAGTGTGCTGCATGAGCAGTAAATGTAATGAAAGACTAAACCTCCAACGACCTTAAGTGGCCTCTGCTCCTTTAGCCGTCGTAAATCTATTCTTAACCATACTTACTGCTGCTGCTATGCATGTATATGTGCATGGCTATATATGCACATGAGGGACCTGTGTGCCTTTGGAACATTTTATTATGGACGGTGCCCACAAAATATGTACAGTTTATGCAAGATATGCAAGATAAATGACCCACTTTAAATAAGAATATTGTTCAGATGAAACAACGGAGCAGGTCTCCACTGTTGTAACTGAATGTTACTTAATCCATTTATGTAAGATATATCTGCCAAGATCCATGCATGATCACCTGCTCCTCCTCTGTTTTAACGGTAGCCACAGCGCCTCCCAGTGACATGCAGCGGTACTGACTGCTGATCCAGTCAGCTCTGTCCTCACTGAAGTAAAAACATTTATCTCCATTAAGTTTCCATTCAGCCAAACATGGTCTGCACTCTCTATCTGTTTGAACAAATAAGAAGAGAGAAAGAAAAAAATGTTTAGAATATGTTCCTAATGGCTTTAGAACATTAAAACTGTTCTGTCATAACTTTAGAAGTCCCCTTACTAAAAGAGTTTTTTGCTCACTTGCAGCAAAAAGACTTTAAAATATCCCCTAAAATAAACCTTTTCTAAACTATTTAATAATTTGCATAATTCCAGACTGCTCATGCTTGTATTAAGCTTCGTAAAATTTTATTTGTGAGTTATAAGTTTATATAAAAGTTATGTAAGCTCACTGTTTAGTTTTCTGAATGTTTCCTTTTAAAATAGTTTGTCTTTCGTTATTTGAAACCCCAATAAAGAAAATATAAATAAAAAAAAAACATTTTATTGTTGTGTTACCAAATTACATTGACATTGCGATATATCTCTTTAATATTTATCTTCACAGAACTTTACCAACATGTGTCTTCTTACTGAAATTAAAACTAACATTTTGGAGCTCAGAGTCCCAAACTAAATCTCTGAGGGGTTTTATTGAACAAACGTGTGTATAAAAATTTCTCTCATGTTTGGAACAGGAGTCTCTATTACAGACAAATATTTAAAAGGATTATTGCTTCGTATATAAAATAAATGTTTCTTCCTGGGTTTCTTGATTCCATGAGATCATTTGAAGGGAAGCAGATAAAGTAATTAATTATGAGAAGGGCTGCCAGAGGGGTGGTGAAAGATTGATGAAGGATTCCTCCGGTCAGACAGTAGGAGCTGGGAAGCAGAAAAACAAAGCCCACATTAAGGGCATCAGAGGTACGATATGGTTTCTGGTAAAGAAAAACATAGAAGCTAAGTTCCAGAGCAAAACACCATAAGCATAAGAGACTGATTACCACTTATGTCAGAAAGACAGTTTGGCATCTACCTCTGGTAATGGCTTCTCTTTAAGCTCCTCACAATGAGCCTTAATGAGCCTCAGCTTTGGAGGCTGCACCTGCTACTCACAGGGCAGAACAAGGAGAGACACAAATGCACCAACCTGCACACAGTTCTATAGATATGACAATTTCTGCAGTGGAAGATCAATCCTACACTTTACCATAATATAATATTTATATTATTCAATTTTTTAGTATACGCTTTTTACTTTTTAAACACTTTTTATCCAGAACAAGTTAAAACATTTTTTAAAGAAAATCAAACAACATTTTGAAGAAACTCCAAGAGCAACTAGAAAAGCAGTTTTTTTGTTTACAAAGATTTGTATTAATTTTCAGACAGTCCAACAGATTTGGAGTGAACATAGAAACCAGAGACGGTTTAAGTTGCAGTTTTTACCTGAGAAAAAACCCCAAAACAAAGTAAAGCAAGAATAGCTTCACAGTTATTGAGTCTAAATGTTAACATTTGGCTCATTTGAAAAATGGAAGAATTAAAAGACACAAAGATATTATAAAGTTGAACGATATTTTCTAATTAAGCAGTGGAATTGGAAATGTTTGTGGAAATGCAGAAAAAGCTTTAGATCTCATTGATCAATATCTCCATTAAAAACTGTTGCAAAGTCGGACTGAATCATTTAAAGCACATATGTTCCACGTTTTACAGTGGGCGAAGTATCAAGCGGAGCCATTGTTTTGATACACTTTTGTTTAATATACTTAAAAAGTGCCAAATTTCGTATTTTTCACTTATAAAAGAGAATCTAGTCTTTTTAATGTGCTGATTTCCATGTTAAGACTTAATCTACATACGCCTTTGCAATTATTTATGGCATTTATCCCACTTCTCATAAAAATGCACTAGTGCACACAGCATTAAAACAATAAAATAAAAAGGAAATTAACTGAGCTCTAAACATTTTTTTTCACAACTGGAATACTGATAAAACAAAAATGTGCAAAATTAATTATCAATAAAAAAAAAGGTAGTCACACCCTGATAACAACTACTGAAAAATAAATAAATAAATAGAGAGAACCAAAAAGATGAGACATAAAACAAAAGATTTAAGAAGGCCTTGACTCCCAAAGAAAGAAATTTGAATCAGGGTATGGATGTTTCTGTATGGGGCGTTTCTGTTTATTTTATACTCCCCATGTCAAACCACCAGCCTAAAGTCCTGGAAGGGTTTCCGTGATCTAAGAGTCTATGTTGCTGGGGCTAAATGCTCCTGGTGCAAACAGGCTGAATCACAAGGCTAATGATTTGCTTGGTAGGGCGGAGCTGGGACCTCGGCCTCAGCAACATAAAGAGCCAAGCTAGGGGGTTGAAGTTTGTCTGCAAGGGCCTGGTGTTCAGGGTAATCCTCACGGGACCCAACCAGCTCAGTCCCAAATGTGAGACTTGATACCATACCCCAATTGGCCCACCACCTGGAGTGGGAACCATGAGTGCTAAGAGGATTGAACAGTGGTCCATATCCAGGGACATTTTAACTTGTTCTCTCGTCACTCTCATCTCATCCCCACTGGATGAGGGACGGAGCAGTTTGCAGTGAATTGCAAAGCCACTGGTATGAAAATAAGCTTGGGCCATGGTTCTTCACCAGATAAGGAGGCTTGTCCTTTTAAGGTTGGAGAGTTCCTGCCTTAAGTGGAGGAATTCAAATATATTAGGGGCCCTGTTCGTGAATGGGGAAAAATTGAGCAGGAGATCGATAGAGAGACTGGTGTTACTGCTGCAATAATTTAGACGATGCACCAGTCCGTAAAGGTAAAGCGAGCTAAGCAAAAAGACAAAGCTCTCTTTTTACCATCTCTCTAATGTCCTATCCTCACCAGTCGTCATAAAATCTGGATCATGACCATAATAACAAGATCCCAAATACAAGTGTCTGATATGAGGTTTCTCCCTTAGAGACAGAATGAGAAGCTCAACCATCCAGGAGAGACTTGGAGTAGAGCTTCTTCTCCCACTGTTAGGGGGGAGTGTAACCATGTGGAGTTAACCGCTGGCCGCTTCATTGTTCTTGCATGCACGGTTTGCATAGGAATACTTTGTAAATCCACCACTTTTGCCGCAGACACAGTTCCCCATTGTGCACCTTTACATAATGATGAAAACATGCGCAAACAAAAGGCAACATAAGGAGACACGGGTGAACAGAATCCACCAATCGTCTATAGACTCTGGCTGAAGGAGAAATTATTAAAGCATGGGCAAATGGGGGAAATATACAGTAAGGGTAATAAACTCCACTGGTCAATCAAGCTGTACATTCAGACCTGTAGTTGTAGCCTTCCGAAAAAGCAATGGCATAACAAACCAGAAACAAAAAAATACTAATAAAAAAACTTGATAACAGCTGGCAGAGTCAGTTTAATTAACCTTTATTGCAAATCCCATAATAACAGAATATGGCAAGATGAAAGTAATATATCAAACAGTAATGAAGCGCGTAAAAGTGAAAAACTAAATCAAAACATATTTTACGCTTTAGATTCTGAAACAAAATCACTTTTTTTATCCAACAACAGTTACTCACAGCAAAGATCTTTAAAATTTTAACTCACCACCAGTGGAAGAGTTGATTGTGGGACAGTATTGATTCAGAGCAGGATACTGGGCAAAGAGGAGGTGATGGGACTGATTGAGCTTCTTCAGTCTGTTTGTCAGATCTTGCAATTTGTTTTCTTGTGCAATTGAGCGAGACTGAGATGTGAAGGTGATCTGCACCACTGTGGGATCATAGAAACACCAAAAACCATAAGCACACACCTGCTTAAAACATCCAAGAACAGTCATTCTCAATAAATGAGAACATTATAAAGTTTGCTTATTTCAGTAGCATAGTCTGCATGTAATAAAGAAAAATGACACACAGGCTGAGGTTTTTAGGTTTCTCTTTCTGCTAATCAAGTAAGTGAACAATTAGGCTCCTAGTGATGCTGAAGCACCTGCCCTTTTGCCATGCCTAAGAAAAGTGCCCTCCCTGCTGGAGTAATTCACTAATATTTAAAAGGGGAACTGATCCTCTCTTTTATCAGTTCCTCCCAAAAGTAATTTTTATGTATAATGGGCATTTGTTTGGGTTCTTGTGAGAATTCTGCCCCAACCTGATCAACATCTTTAAAAATTCTACAGTGAGATTTAAATAATTTGTGAGATAAACAAAAGGGTATGCTTTTGTGATGGTATGGCTACTTTTACTTATGCTTGAATAGATAAATGTTAAGTTAGCAATTTTCTTCCAAGAGTGACTTTTTTGGCATCTATATCCACCTCCTGCATCATCCTTTCCCACAAGACACTCCCATAGGGACCAGCGATCCTGCCCCCTGGTTTTTGAGATAGGCAAACCCTTTGATAAAATGCTATTTTACTAAGATTTTATCTACCTCCTTGGATTTACAATGTGAAGTGGTTTGAACATATTTCAATTACTCTAAATTAGTTTAAAATGAATTATCATAGCATATTTCTATCGGTTATGTTTAATATTTTGTTTTCCTTTTTTTCTTTGAAAACAAAGTAGCTTAGTTTAATTCAGTTCAATTAAATTAATTTACCTATATAGTGCCAGTTCATAACACATGTCACCTCAAGGCACTTTACAGATTGAATCCAATCAGATTGGTTAAAAGTTTTGGTCAGGGAAAACGAGCTGATTGCATCGAATCAATGACATGCAAGACATTCTTCTCCTGGATGAGCTTGCATTTTATCATTGACTCTAGAACAATCCCTCACACTGAGTGTGCATGAAGGGACAGTGGAGAGGAAAAACTCCCTTTTAACAGGAAAACTAAACCTTCAGCAGAACCAGGGTGAGCAACCTTCAAAAATTTGCAAACATACAAAAGGTAACTGTTAACTAGTTCCAAGGGTGGTCTAGTAAAACACAAGCTCTGAGCCAGTTTTCATGTCAGAGGATGAAAGTGAGCACATACAGCTAGTCACATTAAAAAGAACAGGACTATACTGAAAATAGGCCAAGCTCCAACATCTTGACTGGAACATACAAAGACAGGAACATACTTAAAAGCAGAGAGAACATAAAGTTATAAGTGGAACTTAACACACATTGCAGAATGGGAGAATAAAGATAGAATGAAGAAGAATGAGGAAATGTGGTTCCTCTGTCCTCCAGCAGCCTTAAGATATAGCAGCATAAATAAAGCAAATAGCTTAGGATAGCTGACTATTTAGGTGAGGTATGAGAAAGGTAGTTGGGTTCAGTTGAGTTACATTTTAAATGTAAGATCACACACTCACAGCAGAGAGTCTGAAGCAGAGTCACAATGGTGAGCATGAAGCAGAGCAGGGACAAGTAATGAGCCAACGGTTTGTGGTCACCTAGGGAAAATAAGATAAAAAGCCACCAAAAAGTAAGTTATTATTCAATGCAGGCTGTCATGTCAACATTAACAATCTTTAACGGTTACCCTAACCTCACCATAGAACAAAATAATGTATAATTTTTTAACCCTATTACCTTTAATACTATCAAAACATGATAAATAATGAGGTGGAACGGGAGCCATGTATAGCTAGGTTTACAGGATTCTGTAACAATCTGGGACATTTTGTCTCTTAGAAACATTAACTTACTTCAGCTTTAAAAACGAAACCATTTAAAACATTAATAAGAAGCTGAAATAATTAGCATGGCATTTCACTCATTAGCTTCTTTTCAATTTACTGGAACTACATCTATTATAGCCTTTATTGCTACTTAAACACAAAGTAGGAAAAGCATAACAAGCAGATCATTAGCCAAACCCCACAATGACTTTACAGTAATGTTTAAAAAAACACTTGCCATAAAATGAAAATAAACTACAAGCAGGTGAACAATCCACTTTAATCACTTGATATTTTCTAAAGGTGAAAAGCCTCTAATATTTATGAAAAAATAAATAAATAAAGAGCTAATACATCCATATTACTGTGCAATTACACAATAAAAAAAATATAATTACATTGTTCTGTCGAGGCTTTGGTGGTAGGTCCTTCCTGCAAAGTTAATCCATTGTTTACACCCATTGCGATGTCTGAAAATCAAATATAAAGCTTCACTCTATGCTGTTTCTGTCCTAAACTATGGTTCTAAAGCTTGGAAACGTCTGTGTCCTCACTACAATAGGACACAAAAGAGAGGCCCACAGGTCTGAAGCTGTGTTTCATACACCAAACTACTGGTTCTCTAAGCTCATGCAAAGTAGTTTGATAGCCAAATAAGTTTAACGGGGCAGACACCACAATGTACGCCTTCTTTCAGTAAATTCCAATAAGATAATGGGAGAATATTCTACCTCTTGTTGTTATGATAAAAACTCTAAAAGATTTGATAAAAAGATTTTATAAAAAACAATGTTTTAGCAATGAAATACGTAGTTAAACATTCATTTCATTTATTGAAATAAAGAGGAACACTGCAGAGTGTTGCCATAAAGTTATATTTTCCTCCGGTTGAACCATAACAGCCTTCAAACAAGCAACAGACATTTGGTAAAAGATGCATACAACTAGCGTTAAATTCGTCAACATTTTATCCTTTTTCTTATTCTAGTATTGGGGTTTCTTAATTTGCATTTAGGTTAGACTATGTCTGCACAGGTGCTTTACCTATCTATCTGTGTGTTTCCCTGTAATGAGCTGGTGACCTCTCCATGGTGAAAACCATGCATTTTGCATTGACAGTTGGGGATATGTGAGACCAAGCACAGGAAATGAATAGAAGGACAGATGTTGATCGCATGGAATTGCTGTTTAAAATCCAGTACATTATGTCAGGACACTGTAACTGTTTGTAAACATTTAATTAGATATGTATGTAATTTCTCTCCAGAACTGATAGATGCTTAATTTATGCATCTTTATGATTGTGAAATAGTTTAGATCAGGGGTTACCAAAGCAGGTATCGGGAGACAACCAGTAGGCATTCTGAGATGGTTTCCACAATAATTGTGATGTGATCCCAGAGGCATATGAATGGACTGAATGCTTTTGAAATATATACATATGTAAACAGGGAATTTTGTTCGATTATTGTTGGACAGAACAAAAACTTTTTAGAAATAGAAATTTGAAAAAAATAGAACATTTTAATTGGAAATTTAAAACAATCCAATCGAACAGTTAAACCTTTGAAAACTGTATTTAAATTAGGGGGTTTAATGATTGATCGTTTAATCGATGGATCAGTTTCTAATTCTTTGATCCAACTACATCAATCTGTTCTCAGCAAATTGTTAATAAAAACGACATGAACTAGTCTATGGTCGTTTTGTAAGGTAATTAATTGATTGCATTAATATCAATTAGGAGAAAACAAATAAAGCACAGTAGTTTTTTTTCTTTTTAGATGTTTTCACTTGAAAACTTTTAATGATACGGACATTTAATTTGACTCGATGAGGTCCATCTGTTTGTGAACATGAACATGCATAAGCGGTGCAGACTTAAAAACGACTTTATGGATGAAAGAGAAGTGACAGAGATTACTGAAAATTATTAACAAGCCCCCTTAGCCGCTGACATTGATATGATGATAGGGGGTATGATACATTGATGGGTGGAACCACAAAGAAGTAGTAACAAAATTAAACTTTGACTTGATTTGCAAGACAGTTTTCAATCCATTAATGTCAAATTTATAAAAATTCCACAGTGCACCAATATTACAATACCAAGTTGATGCTTAGAATTATTTACAAAGTCTACCATCTTTGTAAATAACAGTAAATTATTTCTAACATACTTGAATCTGTTCAGTCATTTTCTTTCTTATTGTTTTAGGAGATAAAAAACACACAGCTGGTTGGTCCTCAAAGATACCTTCAGTCCAAAGTATATTTGATTGAATAATACTTTTGCCGTGCCCCCCTAGGGTTAGTTTTGGATATGAAGTTATTGCATAATACACCACTCGAAGGGTTTATTAACATTTTTTAGCTGAAAATTTTTTTTTACAGAAAACAACCTGGATGGATGGATTTACCCTTAAAAAAATTAAACATTGTATAACATTTACGTGACTCAGCCACTGTCTGGTTAAAATCTCCATCCACTTCCCCTAAAATAATTATAAAACATTTTTTTTTATTATTATTGTAATATTTAATGGGCTATTAAAAATGTACATATAATAAAATATATGTACATACAAATATTTTCCACCATTTTATTATTTTTGAACTGCCCCATTAAAGTTTTACAAAGCTATATTTATTTATTTTGCCTTACACTTAAGGAAGAGAATGCTCTGAACATGTTACTGTATCACACTTGATTAATTTAAACACAAAAACAGGAATAAACACAACAAAAGCTATTAAAATGCTGGGACATACAGCAAAGGCATAAATAAGCATTGTTATTGCTATTGTTTTACACTTTAAAATACACTAAACGTTTGCAAAGATCATTTCTCTGGTAAATGTATACAATCTAACTGATAAAAACAGAGGATACATTTTAAAGAAGTGTAACACATATTTGGCCCACTAATCTTCACAGAAAAAAACAAAACAAAACAAACACAATTTCAAAGTGCTTCATACTTTGGCATAACAAATAAAGGTTTTATGGATATTTACAGCTAAATATTTAAATGCTGCATTTAATATCACTTTTAAACACAAATTCATGTTGCAGCAGGAAAGCCTGACTTTGGACTGATTACAACAGTTTACTACCAAAGATGCTTTAAAAAAGAACAAAAAGAGAGGTAAGTAGAGGTTTAAAAGTGCTGTTATTTTTTATTATTGACAAGGTGACAGATACAATTATAATATATTTTAAAGATTTGAGACAACCATGTCACAGTTTCTACATTTACAAATAGAAAAAAGAAATATACTTTAAACATAAACATGAAATTGATGGTATAAGCTGGTACCATGTGATGAATCAGCAAAACTCTCAGTTTCAGCTCCTCTGAGTATGTCCGAATGCGTGTCTGCCTTTGCCATGGGGTTTGAGCTGGTTGGAAATAGGCAGGATCATGTCAGGTGTTCGCAGGTAAATCCTGACATAAGCCAGCAGTTGATCAGGAGATGCGTGCTTCAAAGTGCTGACACGTTGTGGCCCGGTATACCCATTTCGATTATGTTAGGTGTACATCTCAGTGTTTATGAAAAAACCTGTCGAAAGCAGTTAGCTTAGAGAACATCTTCAGTTCTGTGCTGGAAAAATACATATTTTCTTACAACATATTAACCACAAATTACATATTTTCCTTAATTCAGACTTTTTTACTAGAAAAAGCCAGCATTTTTTCAATATGAAATACTAATATAATGTGTATAAGTAAACATTATTGAGTCATGCTATGAACATGCCAGATTTGACCTTTAAAAAAACACATCCAGCAACAAAATTACTCCTGCTGAGGAACAGAAGATGCTTCTGCTGTCTCTTTTACTCTGCTTTTCATCCTTGTTATGTTTGTGTTGATTGCAGCAAGCTCGTCAGTAGCATTCAACAACCTCTGGAGCTGTTCTGCTGAAAAGAAATCGAATTATGTGTGTTGAATCCATCAGAGCAGCCGCAGTCGTGACCATGCAAGCAGTAAATCCAAAGCTCCGCGCTCTTGGGAGCTTTTAAAGCTGTCCTGCTGAGAACATAGAAGTGAGGGCGTAGGTGGGGAAGGCAGAAAGATTATATTTCTTCCCTCTCCATCCATTTTTGACACATACATTTAATCAGCTAATCCTTCTGCTTTGCCTGTAGGAGTTCAATGTTCCCATTTAGCTGCAAGGTTCAAAAGGAAGCTCGGTCAGCCCTCCATGAAGCTCCACTAACTCTTCAGACCACGACATGACGTCACCAACAAGGTGGCCTCCACATGTTGCTTGAGTGTGAATCTCACTGGCTGTCAAGACTCTGGACCAGAACTGGAGATCTGACAATTCCCCCAAGAAAGACTGAGTGATGTCGAATCGGTCTCCCATTGTGTCCTGTAGTAAGGGAGAAGACACATAGATTAAAAAGAGTCCAACAGCCTGACAGTTTTACAGTCTAAATGAATGCCCCACCTGCTCCTGCCCCAATATAAATGTCCCTCCTGGTTTTATAGAATACCAGGCTGACAGGTTCTGCCCGGAACCTTTCTTCACTCCATCCTGGAAAGCCTCCCAGACTCCATCACGTGTTGACCAAGTCACACAAACATGATGCCACTTTCCATCTTTTAAAGTTATTGGTAACGTCACAGCCTAAACAGAGAAGTAGTAAAAAAAAATAGAAAAAATATGCACAGAAATTGTTATACAGTATAACATAAAACCAAAGATTTCATTAGTCTTTATTTATATGTCTGAGATTAAAAAAAATATAAATAAATTGTTAATTATTCTGAGTTTTAGACTATGTTTTGAATTATAAAAAAAGCAATGACTTTGATTTTTATTTTATTTTATCTCTTAGCAGTGACATTCTATGTCAATGACTAAACCTATAGGTGTTTCTAAACAGAGGCCAACAGTAGCCAGTGTCCCTGTAGGACTGGTCATATCATGGCACCTCTACTAAAATCACACACTGCAAAAACTTTTGAATCTAAATAAGCATATATTTTTTTAATCAGGTGTATTTTCCCTCCATTTGAGCAGGTAAGAAGAGAATAGAGTAAAAAGGTTAAATAATAAAAAAAAAACATCATATTGTTCTACTTCAAGTGCTTTTTATGTAATTATCTTCTTATGAAGGCAAATTTATTAATTCCTGTGGCAGATAATTTAGTTAACAGCCCAAATGTAGGGTGACTGCAATTATTTAAAAAAAATTGCACTTTTTTATGCCTGTTTTTATGGGGTAATAAGAAATAGATTCCTTGATTTTTTTATGGGCTACCACAGCTGATTCGTCCGTTAGACCAACTTCATATTTTGTCTTTACTGATCAGAGATTTCTCCTATTTTATTGAACAGACAGTAATACAAAAATGCCCTCTCCCACCTAATTCTGCAACCAGCAGGTTGAAATAAAGCTCTTTGCCCATTAAAAAAAGGTTTTATATATATATATATATATATATATATATATATATATATATATATATATATATATATATATATATATATATATATATATATATATATATTATTAGTATTATTGATATTTATATATTATATATAGGTAATGATTATGAAATACCTTTACAAAGTATGGGTAGAGTAAATGCTTATTTTGAATAAAAGCAATAAAGTAATTTATAACTAATTTTTTTTACAACTTTGCATAAAACCATGCTTTTGTAATACTAAGTAATTTGCTGCCATTTCTTTATATGTTGCTGCCAATTGCAGAGACACTTAATTAAACAGGATCCCACACTTTATCTGGGCATATTATAGATAGACTACCTAGTATTATGAAAATATATCTTGTTATGAAAAGCAAGGGCAATCATAATATCAAAACCGCAGCAATTTCATCCATTACTGGTCTTCTCAAGCTTCTATATGCAGAAAAGCTGAGTTATTAACTACAAATAGTTACTTTACTTTTTCAGTAGCTATATATTATTTGAATAATCAAATGTAGGCTTTTACAGCCTACATTTGAATACAAATATATGTTCTTCTACTCCTTACTCCTACTTCTTTACTACTTTTATTCATACAGTATCAATAATAACGTAACAGCTCCAACAAAACAGGGGGGAGAACAAAAGTATGAAGATAACCTTCCAGTAAGAGCCCAGTTTGTTGATAGAATGACTCTGATAGAAACATGAAGAGAGACAGGGGACTGAGAAACCTTGCAGATGATGGATCAGATTATGAAAAGCAAGGTATACTCTCCACCTTTGTTAGATTTGAAATTGACATATTGATCATGTTTCAGGTTATATTTTAATTTCTAATTTTATTTTTCAACTTAAATAAGGTAAATATAAAAGCTCTAAAAGTATTAAGGACTTCTGTTTGGTTTAGGCTATATTATCCTGTTTGAGATTTTGATAAAAAATAAAAAACAGGCTGAGTCATATTTTGTGTTCTTTCAATCAACAGCAAAATAGGAAAATATACCTATTTTCATGCAAATATGCCTTTTTTTAGTTATCTTGTATCTTTTAAGGCAAAAACTTTATTTTTGTATATAAAAGTATAATCAGTACTTATTTTGGTAAGACGTTCATTCAGTACTTTTACTTTTACCAGGGTATTTTTTTGACACAGGTATCTCTACTTTTACTTACGTAAAGAACTAAAACACTTTTGACATCTTGGCCTAGATATATGTTCAGTATCTATGCCCCATGGTTTTAAGTGGGTCATTAATTACTTGCATCATTACTCTGCATGTAAGTCCTAGACAACAAACATGATACCTTTATCTTCCTGGTGTCTCTCACAGACAACTGGGTCAGTCAGTACAAGACTATAACAGGATTAATTGCTTTTGGTGATTTATCTGGTGAGATCACTTCACACATTACTGGGGTAAGGAAGAGCCATGGTCAACCATCTGCCTTCCATTTAAAGGGAAAAAAGTCATCAGCTTTTCAGAGAAAAAAAGATTAGAGGATTAGTTGAACAACAGAGTCCTGGCAGGTTTGTTTGTTGGTTAGCGTCAATCAGATCAAGTGATGCACAACTTACAGTGTGCAGTAAAAAAAGAAGAAGAAAATTGGGAAGTGTTCCATATTGGAAAAAAATAATCAAAGAACACATATGTGCCTGCTTGCCTCAAAAATAAATCCATATTAGTGTTTGAATATTTCATCAAAAATATTTTAAGTTAACTAAATCTAACTCAAAATGTGTCTGTGCAACAGGAAATGTTTATGTTCATATACATTTTTTGCCAACATTATGGATCTTTCTAAGATTAACGTTTAAGCATAGTGGTGTAAATGTAGGGGTTGAGCGACTAAATATGTTTTAAATGTTGTTGAATTTAGGTGATGTGTGTAGCATTCAATTAATCCTAATTTTTTACAAACCATTAAATTCCAATTACCTACAAGGACACATGGTATATGTCAGTCAGTACCTATGCAACATTTTAGCCCCAATTCAAACATATGTGAGCCTGTTTAATAATTGGGACCTTCATGTATATGAATCACAACAACAGGAATTGTTGCAACATTTATATATATACGTTTTTTAGTAGATGAAGTTAATCACTTTTATCGGTTTAATCAAGTGTCAAACTTAAGGCAAGTGGACCAAATCCAGCTCCTCATGGCAAATCATCCTCCCATCAATGCCCAAAAGACTAAGCCACTCTTAAGATCACATGAAGTGCATGTATTCACCGTCCCTTTATTTGCTAGCTAATGTTGTTTGGTTTAATTTTTTTTTATACTTATTTTTTGTTTAAATTGAGACTGGTGTAACATTTTTTATCAATGTGTTTTTTTTTATGTAAAAGGAGGAAAAAAAAGAAATATCTGCTTCAAACATCAACCCATAAATATTGGTTGCATTTTTCAGTGACTGGTTGGACAACTGTCAAAATAACTGGTATAATTTTAATGGCATCTGCCATAAAAATGTATGGGCCATTTAAAAAAAGAAATGTCCTCTGAAGTGTAGAAAGTGGTTAAGACTGCTAAAAAAGTAAAGTTGTGATACCAGAACAGCGGTCTATTTTTAAAAGAATCAATGAAAACCAAAGTTTCATTTATACAGTTAAACTGGCCCCTTTAAAACACCTGATGATGCTGAAAAAGCCTGCTGTAAAAATACGTTTGACACCCCTAGTTTAGATGGTAAAAGACTTAACTAAGTTTTAAGTCATGTTGTTAAAGACTTGCAGATATAGGAAATGATCTATATGAAACTCTTGCTGATGGGCACTCTCTTAAGCTGGTAATGTGTTTAGGCACATTTTGAAAAAAATATTTTTTAGCATGGTGATTTTGTCAAATAATGAAAGTACTTATTTAAAGTAAGGCCTGGCAGGCTTTAAGCTTGTGTTTTATTGTTTCTTGTTATCAAACCACACAGGCTCTGGCTATCACTTTCTTCTGTACAGGACGGTAAGTGTTTCAATGAGGCCATATTACATTGCTTTTACCTTGTCATTAATAAGCAGCTCCATGGGGTTGCTGCCCCATTCCATTAGCACCAGCTCATTGGCCTGCCCTGGCACGGCATAGGAAATAGGCGTTCCAAGGCCAGGACCTTCACCTGGCTTTAGCCACAGACAGATGGTCAAGGCAAAGATCTCGTTGACCACTGACCGCTTCATCCTGGCATACATGTAGTTTGTCCTCATAGGAAACTCAAGCAAGAAAGCATTTGGACTCTTAAGCTTCTTGTGGATTCCTGGTCAAATTGAAAGAAAGGGGGTTCATTAATTCCAGTTGAACAAAAGGTCACACCAAGCCCATAAATTTCTATTGGAAAAAAAAAACATATTCGTCATTGTCAAATAGGAGATTGCTGATGAGCCTCTCCTTTTCAAACTGGTACCTACATAGGACTGAGAACCCTTGAAGAACATATACAGATGGCTTGTATATGGAATTAAAAGTAACTGCATAACATTTGTTTAGCCTATATTTGTGATTCTGGTAATTTATCAAAATACCTAACCTCCAATAGTATTTGACTGACATGTAATAGATTAAGATACATTTGAAATGTGTGTTTACCATGGTCATTGCTGGGATGAAGGTGGCTGAGAACTGTTTCTAACTTGCTGTGTCCAGAGCCCCGCAGGCTTGTTTCCTTACTAGTGTAAGGAAGGCGTCTCGGAGGATGCTCCCCTTCATGGGGCTCATGGTCCTCAGTCTCAGGGTGGTGGCCATCATGGTGGTCATCATAATGACCTATTCCATGATGGTCATCACGGTGGTCCTTATGATGGTCATCGTGGTGGCTGCTGTGATGGGCTTCATGATGGCTATTGTGACGACCATAGTGCCAGTTGTAGTTGGGTTCATAATGTCGATTATAATGATTGCCTTGATGGTTGTACCTATGGCCACCATAGTGGCTGGTTTGATGGTCTTCATGGTGAGATGTGCCATGGTGGTTTTCATGATTATCATCGGGATGGCCACCATGATGACTAGAGCGATGGTCATCATGGTGGCTGCTGCTGTGCTTTTCATCATGTGAGTCATCATGGTGATCAGAGTTGTGGCTGTCATGGTGATCTCTGTAGTATTTGTGTAACTGCTCTTCTAAAGCATTGATCTTTCGCTGGAGGAGTTCTCTCAAGGAGCTTGAGTAGGAACTAGAGGAGTTTCTTGCCTAGGGATAGAATACATGAATTAATATATAGGTACATATCATGAACAACCCCAACAGTCTACATTTGAGAGTCTCCTATTGCAAAAAAGATTGAAATTGAGTAACAGCAACAATTAAGTGTGCAGGAATATTCTTAAATATCAACCAAAAAAAGGTTTCAACATTCCCCTTAACATTATTGGCTTGTATTACCTCTCCCACTCTCTTGTTCTCATCTTCCCCACCAGCAAATCCGGCTTTGTTTCTTACCAAGACACGTCACAATTACTAGCCTTATCAGAAGGGATGAAGCTAATTGAAGGTGAGGCTGGCTAGCACCCTTCGGTGCAAGACCAGGGGCTGGTGGGGTAGACAGCTTACCGAAGGAGGGAGTGACACAGGGTAAATCCTGGCACTGATTATGTTTTGACTAGCACCATCAAGGGAGACTGAATAAGATTTCTAGCAGTACATTCTATCAGTGCAGTCTGAGACCACCTGCGCACCACATATGGCTTTTATAGGTTACTGCCCCAGCACAGCTACATACATTTGTTTTAAAAATAACTACAATGTTGTTAAAGAACCATTTGATATAAATGATTCAGCATTCCTGCACTGTGGTCTCATATTTTAAGGGCATAATATCTAATTATCTTATTCTAAGGGTAAAAATACTACTTCCATTGGCACATCCTCTTATATACGTACTCAAATTATGGGGGAAATACACTAAGTCACCCGTCCTGCAGATGGGAAGCCTGGGTTTGTATCCCAGCTGGAAGGAATGAGCTGCCAGCATGGGCCCTTAGGCAAGACCCTTCATGCTAATGCCTGTTTTGGGGAGTGGTGGCCTAATGGACTTGAGGTTCTGAATTCAAGCTTCACTCCCACAGATTGCCACTCTGGGTCCCTGAGCAAGACCCTTAACCACACTGCTCCCCAGATGCCAATTGCTCCCCAAGGGGATGGGTTAAATGAGTTTATTTTGTTGCACTGTACTTGTGACAGTGTAATGACAATAAAAGCTGGAAAAAAGATGAAAAAAAATATAGTTTGTGCAGTTCCCCGCAGTTTTACCTCACCAATTTGGAACGACTTGTTTTTATTACTATGGTGGTTTGTTCAAAGTTTCCCAATGAAAAATCCCTTTGAAATTACCTTGTTTGCCTTTACAGTTTTCATGTTACTCCATCTCTACAGTTTTAGTACTTGATTTGTCTCTTTTTCTGTTTTACAATTGGCAGTAGGCTACTTCAGCATCCTAGAAAAACTGACAGCCAACCACTAGTTGTTTAAGTTTTTAATAATGAAAATTCTTAAATGCATTTTAAATTTTATATTTTGTCTCCAGCAGACATTCTACCTAGACCTAGAGTGTTTTTACACCTCTGTTGTTTAGTGGTTCTAAAACAAGCTGGCTCATTGTCCTCCTTGGTGGGGTTTGATAAGATGTAAGAACATCCTTTCCAGAACTTTTTTAGGAGGTGGTTATGTTTTGTTCCAAAAAAACTATGGATAGGTTGGTCTATGATGTGAATGCATACCTTCCCATGTATGCATTGAACTCTTGGATGTGTAAACAAAACAACAAACAAAGGCTGCACATCTTTTCCGAGAATCATAAATCCTATACAACTCTCTAAGCATCTCAAATACATTTCATACTTTTAAAAATATTTCCTGCTACAGTGACCTCTATAACACTCATAACTTATACTGGGTTTGAGCATCAGTTTCATTTATTTCAAGGCTTATCTGACCAATAATCTGATTAAACCTTCTAAGTGAATTATAGTGACATGATTTTTGCAAACCTTGAGACACAAAACCACTGGAAAAAAGACCCCAGGAAGATTAGTGGCAATTTATTTGGCAGCTAATGGGGATCCTAATAAAACTAAACTAAACTAAACTAAACTAAACTAAACTAAACTAAACTAAACTAAACTAAACTAAACTAAACTAAACTGGAAAAAAGTTACAAGTTAACAAATTTATCAACTGATGTTATCCCCGCCGGGGTCTTTCTGCATTGAATCTGTGTGTAGGGCTTTTGTTTCTCTACTTAAGTGTTCTCTCACAGTGTAAACTCATACAAGAGGTTAAGTGGCCATTATACATTATTGGCAGATATGATGGTGTGCGTCTATGGATGTCTGTCCTATGTGTCTCTCTCTATCACTCTGACATAAATAAATTAGTTTCAAATGTCATTAAGGGGCCAATGCTGTCCTTCACAACAACTAAAGACTCACAACTGTCTGCAAAGACCTCAAAGCCCCTTTTCTCACTAATGCAGAAAAAATAAGACCCATCCAGACATATTAAGGACTTTTAAAAGCAAAGCAAACAAAAGCATTCAAAAATAGTTACATTTTCTAAAACTTCACACTGTAGCTCCCTTTCTATTAATCGTCAAAATTGTGCAAATTGTAATTATGAAAACAAATTCATTTTGCAATAATGACTGGGATGATCACTAGGGCTTGGGGTGAAATATGGATATATCTCACGCATTTACATCTTCCGCTGCCTTGTCCTTTTACTACAAATGTGAAAATGTTCATTTAACAATGACTAGAATGTCGATATAATTTTGTGTACATTTGTAATGGAAACAACTTGTGATGTGGCAATACTTTGACAACATTACTGTAACTGTATAATATTAAGGTCAGTTTCAACATGGGCAATGATTGCATTTCATTTGGCCTCTCTCACCTTCAAGTTCTCCAGTCTTTCTTTTAATGTCTGTAGTGTCTTTCCAGTCTGTTCTGGGGAAAATGAGCTGTGTTTGCTGTATGAGGAGCCCTTCCGGTGATGGATGTCTGCCCTATGGTTGTCATGGGAGGAATGATGATCAATGCCATGATGTGCTGAGGGTCCATGGTGCAATGAAGATGGCCCGTGATGGCTACCATGATGACCATGGTGCTCATCATGATGGCTGTTATGACTGTCAACATGGCCAGTATGGTGGGTATCATGTTTATTGTCAAGGTTATCATGGTGGTTTTCATGATGTCCGATGCTATGGTGACCACCAAAGCCTTCACACAAGGTGAGTTTGGCAGTCAGCTCTCTGATGGTCTCCCGCTGGTCCAGGATGGTTTCCTTCTGCCTTACAAGGCTCTCGCGAAGGTGCAAAATGGTGGCTTTTGCCTCATCTGACATTATGCCTCGATGGCTGCCACCACTGTGGTCACTCCCATGACTGCTACTGCTCGGACCATGGGGCACAGAGGGTGGTGAATAACAGCTGGGATCTGCTTCTGGAGGTATAGGAGTACAGACAAATTTGGGACTAATGCCATAGTCATATTCTATGGTGCCCACAGCAGCAGCACATGATAAAAAATAATAAAAAATCAGAGTTTGTATGGGAAAAAGAGGATAGATTAAACCGTGAGGTAGTCCGACTCTTTGCTCATACTTGACAGGTGAAGGCATGAGTCTTCCAGGGCTGCTTTCTCTGCCCATGTTTCGTTAAAACAAAAACAGCTCCTTGACCAATAACGATGTCCCCAAGAATTAGCTTTACCTCTGAGAACACCATGGATGAAGATCATTTGTGATGTTTGTGGGCGCTTTGAAGCATATCATTTCAACACATTCACTTCTTGCATAATCTTTTCTGGGATAGCGTAAGAATTATAAAGTAATAAAAAAACTTAAAAAACAAGGATTTATTCCAGAGACGAGCAAAGGTTGCTGGCAAAATGTTTATCTTTTCACCTTTGAGTTAACCTATTTGAATCAGACAAAGTTTCTTGGCTTCATGGTGAGTTAACAAGCTGTGAAAGCTTGGCTGTTGTATTGTGAAAGGTCCTTCGACCCACTGGAGGATGATGTGCTGGGCCAGTGCCAGACAAGATATCAGTCTTGGCTCCAAGGACTTCCTGTGCATGTCAGCTAAGTGTAATCCATTTAACTTCAGCTCCTACACGTCCATCAGATCCTTCAGGAAACATTTCCTGTTGCACATACAGAGCAAAGAGGAAAAAGAAGTTTGGTCAAACAAACATATAGCACAAAATGTTCAAATTTGAAATGACTTAGAGAAATAATATATTTGAGAAATTTACGGTCAGTTACATAGCCTGACAGTAAAGGAACATTTGAAAATGACTGTGATGGAGTAAGACCAAGTGAATCATCATCATCATCATCATCATCATCATCATCATCATCATCATCATCATCATCATCATCATCATCATCATCATCATTTGTAGAGCACATCCAAACAGCTACAGCTGAAAACAAAGCTGTAGCTTAGAAACACATCAGGATATAACTTAGGAATTCTCAGTTGTATTTGCCTCAACCTATCAGCAATCTTTGTTTAAGAAGCAACTGAATCAGAAAAAGATGTATTGCTAATAAAAGCTGCAACGCTTACTGGAAAACCATCAGCTTAACAACAGCTGAATATTCTTATTGTTTTGATATATTATTCATTTAAAATAGGAACACTGGTATAAAAGAGTAAAAGGATGTCCCTAGAGTGGATTTTTAAATTCATCTTCACAATGTCATATACAAGCCTAAAACTATTTCAAGAGGTTTTTTTTGTGTGGAAAAGTCTAAAACTGACCAAGAGTTTGTACACCAGAATTACTCATAATGCACCAGCACTTCCTGGAACCATAATGGTCAAGATTGCTGCCACAAGACAGCAATGCTTCAATGATGCTCTTTATTATACCTAGAACAGGTTGGATATATCTTTACTGAACAATTTCAACATCTGACTGCTGTAAGAGCTTTTCTTTAAAAAAAAATAGAAGGTCTTTTTACACCATATCCATCATTATCAGATTGGTTCTGTTTCCTCTGACCCTGACAGTCCTGCCTTGGGCCTACCTTTGAAACTGGGCTCTAACCAGTAATCTTTCCAGATTGATACGCCATGTACATGAAGTTGGCCAAGCTGATTAAATGTATGCTTTCCTTCATAATCAGTCACACAGCTTCCAAAATTTGGATCTTTTGAAATATAAACTGGAGCAACTTAGAAAAATAAAGTTTTTTAAACCATTCAAATTCTTATAGCTTGCACTGATAGCATGCTGTTAAAATAAAATTTGAATAAAGGTTAATGCTTTTTTATCTCTAAAACAGAATAAGAAACCTTTTTAGGTTTACTGGACAACATGAAGCAAAGTGAAGATGAAAGGTTTCAAAACAAGTGGGTTGTTGTTTCTTCTAAGCTTCTTATCCCTATAGCCAATCACCAGAACACCCACTGAGACCTTAACCATTTGGGTCTGATGTGTCCTTTATGTGACTTTGAACAATAAACAAACCACATTTTTTCCTTTTGGACTTTTATTTATTTTATGTTTGAGATCTGGCATTTAAGCAGCTATGACATTTTTTTCTGACATGTAATGAAAAAAGTCAGTCACATTAGTTAGAGAAATTAAAATAAACAGCATAGCAGCTTATTTGTAACTTGTGCTATTCACTTTGTGGTTAACCCGTTAAAAGTAATTTAACATTTATCTTATCTTTCTTTACAAAGTTGACTTGTAAGCTTAGAATAAGACACAAAGATTCAGCAACGGGACCAGGGACTTAACCTGACAACCAGCCCTGCTGTCTGATACTTTAAGACAACATTAGTGGAGCTTTAAAGACATGATACTTCCCAACAGCACGTGGCAACACGCAAGTCTAACAAGCACACAGTAGATTTGTTTTTCTGTTTTACAAGAATATGTGTAAGACATGATTTATCAGAAAAAAACTAACTTGTGCATTTAAGATTCACACTTAGTTTAGAATTTGATAAGGGAAATATACAGTTAATAGAAAAAGTGGCAGGATTATCCTAGACGGGATATGAGTGTGTTGGAATAAAATTCTGTTTACTCTGGGCCGTCAGTTAATCGATACATAAGCTTAGATTTTTTAAGTTAAAAACATTTCTGAGAGAATCCTTATCAGATTTAATTGTGTACAAACATGTAGTTCAACTTTTGTTTTCCATCATTCATAATCAATAGTATAAACAAGTCTTCAGTACAGCTTTTGGAAATATTCATTGGAAGATGTTTCCTTACTTTTTTTTGTTTCTGTTTAGCTTTTTGAAAAAGTTCTAGACTACTTTGCACTGCAGCCTGATAAGTGTCCTATCCTGTCTGTGGCTTAAAGATGTTTTGCCTCCGCATCAACCGCCTGCGCAGGCTTTGACCTCATGCTTTGCACGATTTAACCTCCCCATTAGGTGGGCGAAATGGGAACAGGGGATAAACCCTAACATGGCTGGAAAAACACAAAGACATAGGAACAACAAGGCTAGACAGGTGTTTGAATTTCTTCTTAATCAAAGCTTGTATTTATTGCAACTTTCCACATTTTTTGTTTTTAAAATTTGAATTTCAGGGAACGACTTTAAGTTGAGATTTTTTTTACTGAGTAAAATAAAAATAACAATAAGAAACCTTTGGAAAAAAAAGAAAAAGATTTTGATGTAGCTTTTATGTGAAGAAATGGCCTATACATAGAAAAAATAAAAACATTTCCATATTGATAGATAGATAGATAGATAGATAGATAGATAGATAGATAGATAGATAGATAGATAGATAGATAAACTCACTGTTCTTTTTTTAATTCTGTTGTAATTGTTTTGGGATTATTTAATATCTCACAAATAAATTTTCTGAAAATAGAAAAAGATATAAAATCCCTGTCCCTGCTGTACTGACATGTGAGAACCTTTAACTTAACGCTCGATGACTTCACAGCAGGGGGGGGCTTGTTCGGGTTTCCAAGTTTTTCTATTGAAATTCTTTGTTTAAATTAGATAAAGCCACATTTTATTGTATGGACTGTAAAGTCTTTCTATAGAAATATATAGTAAGGATAGTAATAAAATAGATAGTAAGCTTCAAAGAGGATGGACATCGAATTAATGGTCAAAACAACCTTACAGCCACTCAAAGGTTGGAAAGTTATATGAGTAAACATGTCGACAGGTTTCACCAGGAGGTCCTTCCTCACAGGATGAATGGAGTAGCTGTGAGGTCATGGTAAGCCAGGTTCCACTGATGTACGGTACTAAAATTATGTAGAGCAATAACAGGTTTCCAGCAAAATAAGAAAATAAACAATGGTGATTTATTTTTGGATTCATTAACTTGTGAATGATTATGAGTTCAAGGCAGATGACATGAAATCATTTAAAGAGTGTTGAAGTGATGAGGAGAAAGAGCTGAATGTCCTCCATCATTTGCCAAATTGATTTCCGGAGAAAGCAGGATGATCACGTGAGTTAACAGGTGGACCTCACACCTGAACAGGAACTGGATCATCCTCACAATTTGTTTGGCTTCTTTAAGCTTCTCCAGCCAGTAAAGTGGAGTCAAGCTAAGGTTTCAATGCAGCACGTGGCTCCAAACCTCACTGACTCCAGGACTCAGAGGAATACACAACAGGCAAATAAAACCTAAAAAACACTAAACTGGTGGGCCTAACTCTTTAAATATTGGTCATATAAGTGTTTACATATTTGTGAAAAAACAAATAATCAATATCAATAATAAGGAAATTAAACTTTGATGCTTTTTGAAGTAATACAAATATCTAAAATATTTATATCATCACACCTAATTATGAATCAAGGTTTTTGGCTTATTTTACTATAGCAATAATAATAATAATAATTTAACTTTATTGATCTCACATTGGAAAACTTTACCTCTGCATTTAACCTATCCCTTTGGGCAGCAGTGTGCTGCCATCATGGGGCGCCTAGGGAGCAGTGTGGGGTTAAAGGTCTATTACTGCATTGTCCATTTAAAAGAAGAAAAGTAGCATTTATGAATTCATAAGTGTTTGGAAAAAATCACAACAAGCCTCAGCAGATTCATTCTAACATTAAAACACCTCAAAAAGGGAAAAATGTCAAAGTTTTCTTTATGTGTGCTGTGTGTTTAACATGCAGTAAAATCTATATTAGTTAAGTGTTTTAATCTGCTCTGCATTGTTTTTATTTACATTAGCAAACCTGTGCAAAGGCATTTTGAGTTATAATTTGGAAACAGTTCCCACATGTTGGTGTGGAAATATAAGCAGAAACTTTTCACATCAGAGCGTCTTTACTAAAATGAGAATAAATCACTAACTACTGTACAGGTAGCTTATTAAAGTGTCTCCATGAACACAGTTCAGTACTAAAATAGCTAAAGACCTCAAATAAACTAAATAGCATTATTGTGAGATCCAAAGCAATAAATCAAATATTTTAAACCATGCCATGAAAAAGCAAATTAGTAATCATAGTAAATGAGTAATTATAGATTATATCCAGGACGTTGAGGTTGTGTGCAGCTGAATATTACCTAAACTCGTAAAAACTACAGCAAGGCAAAAAATAAAATGAAATCACAGGATTAAAAACATACATAAGCCTAACACTAAAATTCATTACTATGACACAAACTTCTGCTATTCCTATTTTTTAAAGCCTTACTCCTATTCTCGTCTCTTCATTTGAGTGGCAGAATCATAGTAAATTATATATTTATATCAAAAATTAAAAGTGGAGAAGACAAACTAATATATTGCTAAAATAAGTGCTCCATTGTAAATAAAGCAATTAATCTGTTGCATTTATTATCAAATAAACTATAACCACAATTAAATATATAGAGCTAATATTTACTAATCTGCACATTATGTGTAAAGCTTCAGATTCTATTAATATATCTATATATAATTAATGCATAATATTCACTCCTCGGAACCTAAAAGGATTTCCTTCTTTTTATGGGAACTACAATTTTTGGTGCTGCAGAGTTTAATATAACATCAAGATGAACTGAAAAACAGTTTTGTTTAGTTATCTGTGCTAGAACTCTTGAAAACTACTTTCTCTTTGAAAACAAATGAGAACATTCTCAGACTGCAGCCCCGTTGTTTTAAGAAATTTTTCATCAAATATACCAGTTGTAATTTTCTTTTAAATATACAGTAAAGAAAACTTAACAGAAATATTTCCTTTATGAATATTACCTGAAGATACTATGAACAAAAGAGAAAAAAAACAAACAAAGCTGGTCTAATAGTTTTTGTAAATAAGGATAATATGTATATATATCAAAGTTTTTCACTGTTTTTTTTTGTTACCAAAAAGATTAACTTCTTAGAGAAAGAAGTAAAAAGTTGTTCTTACCTGCATGTAAGTTGAAGTCCCTGAGCTGGTTAGTCCATTCGGTGCACTGATCAGCTTGGGAAGGATTGGTTTAGGTGGATAATTTTAACTCCCTCTCCCTCCCTTCCTGTCTATCTCTCTCTCTCTCTGATTGAAGCACAATAGTCTGAGGTTACTGGACTCTGTTATGAAAAGGGGAATCTATAGTGAATTATGTCTGGAATATCATTGGAACGATCAAACTGTCTGTTGCTTTCGGAAATCTCCCAATCTGTGTGTCTTTGCCTTTTATTTATCTAAATTGATGCACATGTTAGTAATCGAGGTCAAAACACATCCGGAAACAAGAGCCTAAGACCTGCAGTCTTATATAAAAAACCTATTTAAATGAGCTTTTAGCATCAGAGATGTAATACTAACCTTAATTTTACTTTAGGGACCGAGATGGTTACTGGTTTGGGCCTGGGGTTCAGAACCTGGATAAAATAGAGGAAAACAACACCTCCACCAACTACTAAAAATAATTGAGGCAGAGGTCATTTTCTTTACCTGAACAATCTGCAGCTAAATGTTTCATTTTAGAGCAGGGCAATATAAAAATCCATACTAGCAAGATGGCTGGATAGATTCTCACTCATTCGGGTCATGGCAACTACAAACAGCCAAGTATGTTAAAAAATCCCCAAAGTAAAGCAAACTTTTAAGAGCAGTCTAATAATGTCCGGGCTTTAACAAGCACAGGACCGATAATTGACTCATGGCCTGTAATCCTGAACGCAGTTAAGTTTTTACAGGATCAGGATGTGTGGGAAAGCTTTCCTCCGATATATTTATTCTAAATATTTATTTTCCAATACAGAGACCTACTTGATGGTTGTTTGAATTTAAATGTGAGCAAAATGCAAAAAAAGAAAATATTTTTTAAGGCAGTAGAACTGTTTAAAATGGACAATGAATTAAAATAATATTTTAAAATAATTTTATTACTGTTAATTTTAAGTAAGGCAGAAATGTAAACATTCCATATAATTTCAGGACATCAGGCAGTCTAATACTAATTTAAAAGATATGTAAAAGATAAGGGCTTATGATGTAAATATTATAGAATAGGATAGAATAGAAAATCCCTTTATTGTCCCTCAATGTGGAAATTGTGTAATTACAGCAGCAAAATATTATAGCAAATGTGGTCACACAAATGTGGACCTTAAAAAAACAGAATAAGGGAGATAAGAAAATAAACAGATAAAATACTGTATTACACAGTTGTTTTAGAATATTAATACTGAGCATCTGGAGATGTGTATATACTAATTCCATCTACATGCTTGTTGTCCAGGGTCCTCACTATAAAGAGTCTACTGTGGATGTAGAGGCACACTCTGAATCCAAATTGGATTTTAATGTCTTTACTCTTAAACAGAAAAATTTTGGCATTTTAAGTACTTCTGTTAGCATCATGCTAGTTAAAGGTATGTTGGGATGGAGGTTGTATCTGAAATTACTGAGCTTTTTATTTGTAAAACTATGGATTTTTTAAAAGTAAAAGTAATTAAGATAAATATGCCTTGGTTATAACTGGAATATAAAATCTGTTAGAAAAATGTAAATGTCATACTTTTATTTGTATTAACTTACAGGCATTTGCCCTGCTAGGAATCTTGTGCTTTTTTAACGTCAAACGGGGAGAGCAAATGTTTCTCCCAGGTCCTGGCCTTATGCTGTTGCAGGTGACTGATCACTCACACTAAAACTACACAAGGAGCTGTCATGCTTTATCATGTGTAAACTTCTGAACCCTCCTGACAACTTCTGACCCCTCCTGTTACTCCTTTGAAATCTGATAATAAAGGCAGGGAACAGAAAGATCCCAGCAGAGTTGACCACAGACATTCAGGGAGTGAAATTCTCCGTCTACAGTCTACTCTCCACTTCTGCAGAAAAGTAACTTGTTTATTGTGTTAGTTTATTTCTAGGAAAATAAACAAAAAAATAAATAAATCCTTTAATAACATATGTCGTCCTTTGATAACAAAACACTCATGCCATGACGGCTGCACTTTAAAAAAAATTAAATTGTCCAGAGAGCTGTTCTAAACAAAATGTATTTTTGTTTTACACTTGTGTAAACAAAAGGACAAATACATCTGTCTAAGTCTAAGTCTGAGTGAAATCCAGGTTCCATATCCAAGTAGATACACAATCACTACAGTAGCTAAGGTCTGGATAGCACAGGCTAGTGCCATTAGCTTTTGTCAGTTCATTGTTCAGTTAAACAGGTTTAACCACTTGCAGCATTATGCGTCACCGGATGTAGCAGGACAGAAGATTTGTAGTGGAAAGTTCCACTTAGGTGATTGGCTCATGTCAGGCCTACTGATTGCTCTAATTAGTGGGCAAAATACCAAACAGCAACAAAGAAGGACTGAAGTAACAATGTGCTACTGTTTGAGGAGCAGCTCATGTAAAATAAAAAAGATGAGTTAATTTATTTATTTCTAATATATATTTGCAATATATAAATAGAAATCCCATTATTGTCCCTCAGTGGGGAAATTGTTGTGTTACAGCAACACAAGCATTACAGCAAGTGGTCACATAAATGTGGATCTTGAAAAGCGCATAATAACATAATAAGAGTAAAAAATTAAATAAAATACTGTACTGTATAGTGCTTTTACACATATAAATACTGTGCATCTGAAAAATAAACTAGAAAATTTCTAAAGAAATTTTGAGGGGGGCCACCTACTGCCCGTCTGGGTAACTGGGCCAATACGGCCCTGGCAAGTGACGTCGGGGCTCCCCAGACCAACTGCTTACGCCTTTGAGGGCTGCTGAGGGAAGGAAAGAGGGCTAGGTCATGGGCAAAGAGAGCTGTGTGCCACTTGTGCTGAAATCTGGGAAATAGACGTGCACAGCATATGATGCACAAGGGTAATATGGGTTGTCCATATTGAACCGCAGTGGGTAAAGCGCAGTTGGCGGGCTCCGCCCGCCTGCTAGGAGCCCTTGCAGCGATGAAAAAAATCACCAATGGCGGGCTCCGCCCGCCTGCTAAGAGCCATTGCAGTGATGAAATCACCATTAGCGGGCTTCGCCCGCCTTCTAAGAGCCATTGCAGTGATGAAATCACCAATGGCGGGCTCCGCCCGCATGCTCAGAGCCATTGCAGTGATGAAATTACAAATGGCTATGAGCAATATGCCAGAATGTATGAGTGTGTATAAGGAAGAGGCTTTTATTCTGTAGAGTCCCTGTAGTCTTATTTTGAAAGACTATCATGGATGTGCATCAAAAGATGGGTCATGCCCAGCAGTGATATAGAATCCATTTCCAAATGTTAAATCACTGGTTTTCCATGTTATTAGGTGAATAGCTGCTGTATTACAGAGTAAATGGGAGACTTTTATTGTGAAATTTGCTCTGGGGTGTGTTTTGAAAACGTCAGTAGAGTCTAATAAAAACAACCTGGAAGAGTTTGGGTCATAATGTTGAGCCATTTGCATCAATTATTGCATTAGTATAATCTAGAGGCTTTTATTTTGTAGGGTCCCTGGAGTCTTATTTTGAAAGTCCAACAGAGTTGTGTTTAGAGAAAATGTTCAGACCCAGCAATCATAGTTGATGACTTTCCAATCGTTAAATCACTCTTTTTCCATGTTATTAGGGCAGTAGATGAAGCGGAAATGGGAGGCTTTTATTTTGAAATTTGCCATAGGGTGTGTTTTAAACAGTCTCCTAGAGTCTATTCTCTAAAATGGGGTTGAGTTTGGGTCATAATGTTGAGCCATATAGGGCAATAAATATATGTAAAAAATATAGAGGCTTTTATTTTGTAGGGTCCCTGGAGTCTTATTTTGAAAGTCTATCAGTGTTGAGTGGCAAGGGAAGTGTCATGGACCATTTTCCAATGTTAAATCAGTGCTTTCACCCTCCATTGGATTAATATGTGCTGTTTAAAACAGCAGAGGTAAAATCTCTTTGAAGCACGGTTACCTTGACAACGCTTAACGAGCCTGTCAGTGACAGAGAGAAAAGCGCAGCACTATCGTTCCTTAGCTCTCAGGCTTTTTTGAATGGGAGGAACAGCTGCTGAACAAACGACTGCTGAGCAAAAACCGTAATAGGTATTAGAAAAATTCTTTCAGTGAAAGCAACATCTATCCTTTGTCTCAGACTGGGGTAACCTTCATGTCTGTAGGTCTTTCACAACCCAAAACGAAGCACAAACAAAATGGCTGATCCCACCTGCTCCTCCCTTTGTTTAAACTGCAGCACCACACTCTGTCACCTTTAAGCTGCTATAGCACCCCTCCGAACAAACGACAGCTGAGTAAAAACCGTAAAAGGTATCTGAAAAATTATTTTTATCTAAGCTAAAGCTATATCTTGTCTTCAATTGGAGTAACTTTCATGGCTGTAGGTCATCTACAACCTGAATGGGAAGAGAAAGAATAAGAAAAAAACGGGTCCTCAGTCCTTAGCTTCTAACTGAGCTAGCTGCAGCAACACACTCTCACTCACCTTTAAGCTGCTAAAGCCCCCCTCCGAACAAAGGACTGCTGAGTAAAAACCATAAATGATATCTGAAAAATTATTTTTATCTAAGCTACAGCTATATCTTTACTTCAATTAGAGTAACCTTCATGTCTGTAGGTCTTTCACAACCCAAAACGAAGCACAAACAAAATGGCTGATCCCACCTGCTCCTCCCTTTGTTTAAACTGCAGCACCACACTCTGTCACCTTTAAGCTGCTATAGCACCCCTCCGAACAAACGACTGCTGAGCAAAAACCGTAAAAGGTATTAGAAAAATTCTTTCAGTGAAAGAAACATCTATCCTTTGTCTCAGACTGGGGTAACCTTCATGTCTGTAGGTCTTTCACAACCCAAAACGAAGCACAAACAAAATGGCTGATCCCACCTGCTCCTCCCTTTGTTTAAACTGCAGCACCACACTCTGTCATCTTTAAGCTGCTATAGCACCCCTCCGAACAAACGACTGCTGAGTAAAAACCGTAAAAGGTATCTGAAAAATTATTTTTATCTAAACTAAAGCTATATCTTGTCTTCAATTGGAGTAACTTTCATGGCTGTAGGTCATCTACAACCTGAATGGGAAGAGAAAGAATAAGAAA